GACTGATCAGGGTGGTGACTGCTGAAGGTAGAGGTGGCTGTGGAAATTTTTAAAAATAAGACCAAAAATAGTTTGCCACATCGATTGACTCTTCCTTTCACGAATGATTTCTCTATAGCATGCAATGCTGTTTGATAACATTTTACCCACAGTAGAACTTCTTTTAAAATTCGGGTCAATCCTCTCAAACCCTGTTGCTGCTTTAGCAAATAAGTTTATGAAATATTCTAAATCCTTTGTGATCATTTCAACAGTCTTCACAGCATCATGACCAGGAGTAGATTCCATCTCAAGAAACTATTTTCTTTGCTCACCCATAAGAAGCAACTCCTCATCAATTAAAATTTTGTCACGAGATTGCAGCAGTTCAGTCACATCTTCAGGCTCCACTTCTACTTCTGGTTTTCTTGCTATTTCCACCACATCAGCAGTTATCCCCTCCACAGAAGCTTTGAGCCCCTCAAAGTCACCCACAGGGGTTGGAATTAACTTCTTCCAAACTCCTGTTAATGTTCATATTTTGGCCTCTTCCCATGAATCACAAATGTTCTTAATGGCATCTAGAATGATGGCTCTTTTCCTGAGTTTACTTTGCCCAGGTCCATTAGAGGAATCACTGTTTATGGCAGCTACAGCCTTACAAAATGAATTTCTTAAATGATAAGGCTTAGAAGTCAAAATTACTCCTTGATCCATGACGTTGTGTTAGCAGGCATGAAAATAGCATGAATCTCATTGTACATCTCCACCAGGGCTCTTAGGTGAAGAGGCACATTGTCAATAAGTAGTAATATTTTGAAAGGAATCTCTTTTTCTGGGCAGTAGGTCTTAACAGTGAGTTTAAAATATTAAGTAAACCATGTTGTAAACAGATGTGCTGTCGTGCAAGCTTTGTTGTTCCATTGATAGAGAACAGGCAGAGTAGTTTAACATAATTCTGATGGGCTCTAGGATTTTCAGAATGGTGAATGAGCTTTGACTTCAACTTAAAGTCAGTAGCTGCATTAACCCCTAACAAGAGAGTCAGCCTGTCCTTTGAAGATTTGAAGCCAGGCATTGATGTCTCATCTCTAGCTATGAAAGTCCTAGATGGCATCTTCTTCCAATAAAAGACTGTTCGTCTACATGGAAAATCTGTTGGTTAGTGTAATCACCTTCATTAGTCATCTTAGCTAGATGATTCTAGCTGCAGCTTCCACATCAGCACTTGCTACTTCACCTTGCACTTTGATGTTGCAGTGACGGCTTCTTTCCTTAAACCTCATGAACCAACCTCTGTTAGCTTCAAACTTTTCTTCTATAACTTTCTCACCTCAGTCAGTCTCTATAGAATTGAAGAGAGTTAGGGCTTTTCTCCGGATTAGGCTTTGCCTTAAGGGAATGCTGTGGCTGTTTGATCTTCTATCCAGACCCCTCAAACTTTCTCCACATCAGCAATAAGGCCGTTTCACTTTCTCATCTGTGTGTTCCCTGCACTAGCACTTTTAACTTCCTTCAAGATTTTTTCGTTTGCATTCACAACTTGGCTAACTATTTGGCACAAGAGACCTAACTTTTGACCTATCTCAACGTTTAGCATGCCCTACTCACTAAGCTGTACCATTTCTAGCTTTTGATTTAAAGTGAAAGATGTGTGACTTCTTTTTGCTTGAACACTTAGAGGCCATTGTAGAGTTATTAACTGGCCTAATTTCAATATTGGGTCTCAGAGAGGGGGAGAGATGGGGGAACATTTGGTTGGCGGAGCAGTCGGAACACACATAACATTTATCAATTAAGTTTGCCGTCTTATATGGGCACAGCTTGTGGTGCCTCAAAACAACTACAATAGGAACATCAAAGATCACTGATCACAGATCACCATAACAAATATAATGATAAGGAAAAAGTTTGAAATATTGCAAGAATTATCAAAATGTGACACAGAGACCCGAAATGAGCAAATGCAGTTGGAAAAATGGTGCTGATATTGCTTAATGTGGGGTTGCCTTCAATTTGTAAAAAAAAAAAAAAAAAAAAGATGCTTCAATTTGTTAAAAAAAAATGCAATTATCTGTGAAGCATAATAAAATAAAGCACAATTAAGCAAGGTATGCCTGCACCTAGAGGTGCAATTGCTAGATCATATGGTAAGGCTATGTTTAGCTTTGTAAAAAACTGTCAAACTGTCTTCCAAAGGGCTGTACTAGTTTGCATTCCCATCACCAATGAAGGAGCATTCCTGTTACTCCACGTCCTTGCCAGCAATTTGTATTGTTAGTTATCTGGATCTTAGTCATCCTAATAGCCATCTAGTAGTATCTTGTTACTACTTGGGATTTAATTTGTAAACCCCAAGTGACAAATGATATTGAACTCTTTTAATGCACTTATTTGCCACCTACATATTATCTTCGGAGATGTGTTCACATCTTTTGAACATGCTTTAATTGGGTTGTTTGTATTCTTATTTTTGAATTTTAAAAGTTCTTTTTATATTTTGGATGCAAGTTCTTTTTCAAATATGTGTTTTGCAAATATTTTCTCCCAGTCTATGGTTTTTCTTTTGATTCTCTTAACAGTAAATTTCCCAAAGCAGAAGTTTTTAATTTTAATAAAGTTCAATGTATCAACTTTCTCTTTCACAAATCATCCTTTTGGTGTATCTAAAAAATTTATCATGAAACCCAAGGACATCTAGATGTTTTCCTTTGTTATTGTCCAGAACTTTTATACTTTTATGTTCTACATCTAGGTCTATGATTCATTTTGAGTTAATTTCATGAAATGTGTAAAGTCTTGCATATGGATGTCCAATTGTTCAAGAACCATTTTTGAAAATACTGTCCTTTCTCCATTTAACTGCATTTACTTCTTTGTCAAAGATCAGTGACTATATTTGCACAGGTCTATTTCTGGGAGCTCAAATCTGTTTCATTGATCTATATGTCTATTCTTTTGCCAAAACCATGCTGTCTTAATTATTGTAGATTTATAGGAAATCTAGAAATTGGGTATTGTGATTCCTCCAACTTTCTTCTTCTCCTCCTCTTCCTTCTTATACTTCTTATTCTTCAGTATTACATTGGCTATTCTAGGTCTTCTACTTTTCCATGTAAATTTTAGAATTAGTTTCTCAATGATTGCAAAATATTGATTGGAATTTCAATGAATCTATAGATATTAAGTTAGGAAGAATTAATATCTTAACACTACTGAGTCTTCCAATCCATGAATACAGAATATCTATTTAGATTGTCTTGGATTTCTTTCATCAGAGTTTTAGAGTTTTCCACATATAAATTATGTACATATTTTGTCAGGTTTATACCTAAGTGGTTCTTTTTTTTTTTTTTTTTGGTACTATTGTAAACGGTATTGATTGTTGAATTTCAAATCGCAGTTGTTCATTTCTGGTATATAGGAAATCAGTTGACTTTTGTATAGTTATTTGTGTCCTGTGACTTTGCTATACTCACTTATTAGTTCCAGAATGTTTGTTGTTGTTGATTTGATGGGATTTTCCACATTGACAACCATACCATCTGAAAACAAAGTCAGTTTCATGTCTTCCTTCCTAATTTGTATACTTTTTATTTCCTTTCCTTGTCTTAGTGAACTAAGTAGGACTTTCAGTACAGTGGTAAATAGAAGCGGTGAGAGGACATCTTTAGTTTGTAACTGATCTTAGAGAAAAGGCATCTAGTTTCTCACATTATGATATTAGCTGTAGCTTTTTTGTAGATATTCTTTATCAAGTTGTGAGACTTATCCTTTATTCCTAAGATATACATTTTTTATATTCTTTCAAACTGTTTTATTTTCTCAAGTTCTAATAATTCTGCTATTTGTGGAATCACCTGACATTTGCTCATGGTTGATCATTTCCTTTTGTGCTTTGTAGTTTTGATTATGAAAGCTTTGTTTTGTTTTTCTGTGGAATTCCTGTCGTCTGCTCACAAAGATGCACCCACATAGAAGTGATAAAGTCCAGCATGTCAATCACTGAATTCACTCAAATACATTCAGATTCCCTGAGCAGAATTTGGAAGCAAGTTACTGGTTCACTCTTTAATATTCTTTTAAAATCTTCTATCATTTCATGCACTTGGGGGACAAAGTTGGGTGGTCAATAATAGACCTGGATACAGTTTCCTACTCAGCTTATCGGCTAGTTATACAATCTTGGCCAGTTTCTTTAATTTCAAAAGTCGTTAATCTTAACCTTTCTCTCTATAAAAATTAAAAATGGTGACATTCACAATTTCTTTTTGCTCAATGAAGTTTAGAGAAGACTCAATATCTGAAGTTATCCATCTGTGAACTCCTTGAATAGTGTTGTGAATAGATTCTAAGGTAGCCCCTGATCCCCACCTCCTGATGTTCATGCCTTTGTGTAAGCCCTGCTTTGTGAGTGTGGGTGGTTCCTGTGAATTGTGTCTGACAAACAATATGCCACAATTGATAGGATGTCACTCCTGTGATTATGTTCTATTATATGGCAAAGGTGCCGAGATGTCAGTCTGGTTACGTTGCATTATTTAGGACTCTTGTCTTGCTTGCACTATCTCTTTCTCTCTGTTGCTGGGTTTTAATAAGCAAGCTGCAATGAAACCTACAGCCACAAGGAATGCTTCTGACAACAACCCGAGGGACTGTGGTAGGAAATCCTTCCCCAATAAAGCCTGCGGATGAGAGCTCAGTCCTGGGTGACACCGTGATTGCTGCTTTGTGAGACACTGAGGAGACCCAGGTAAGCTTTGTCCATACTCCTGACCCACACTTTGAGATAATAAATATGTTTTAAGCCTCTATGTTTGCAGTAATTTGTCAAACAACAACAGAAAGCTAATACAAGTGCAAAGCTTCAATTAAGTAGGTAATGCCTCTTAAGAACCGCAAAGAGGTAGGTGTTAAGAGGTCACCCAGATTTTTTTTAATCTTCTTTTAAAACAACCATTTCATTTAAAGTAAGTAAAGTGAGAGCAGAAAGTTCTGACACTGAAGAATAGCATTCTTTATTTCAAAAAGGTATCAAATTTTTATTTTATTGCCCATAGTTCTGTAAGGAAATGGATATAAAGCACCAATAATTTTGTGATCTGAAGGATAGTATAGTTGTTAAGTATTATTTACTGTGCTTAGGTTGCATACATCCATAGATATTTATACTTTATGATTAGTCACACAAACTGTGTCCAAGTTTGATATTCAGTTCAAACTGGGATTTTTAATACTGTTTGTATCATGCAACTAAGATATAAAAGAATTGAAAAGTACAAAGTAATAAATAAAAGTTCATTTCAAAAAATATGGTTCCAACCTGTTTGACACGGTGGTGTTCCTTTTAGTCACATGACAGAGTAATTTCCAATAGGCTTGATTCAAATTTGGCTTATCAATCAATGCCATACTAGAAAAATACATTTTCATAACAAATTATCAATTAATAAGTTCACCAACATTACATATTTGACAACTTTGGGGTTAAAAAAAACGCTTCATTTTTCTTTTCCCAGTAAATTACAGCAAAGTGAGTCCTGTGGTCATTGTGCACCAGAAAATTAGAGAAATGAAATCTTCTAAAGCCCCACTGAGGTCAGATTCAGTCTGAAAAGCTGTGCTTTGAGAAATTTACCCACATTTCCACTAAACAAGAGTCTTCATACAACTTGTGAACACACAAAACATGACATACGCTTACTTCCTGTACTTTGGTTAAAAAGTGCTTAACTTTTTTTCCTGAACATATCTAATTCTTGACTCTAATTCTGCTCATCACAGACTACAGCAAAACATGCCATGTGCTTCTTCCCTGTACCATTTTGGGTTTGATGTTTACTGTAAGAAAGTATTAAACTATATTTAACACTTAAAACCACAGAAAAGCAAATGACGTATTGTCTGCTTTTCCAGATGAACTGTGGTAGCTCTTGAAACATTGTTCACATTGTAGAAGCCTTTAAAGTCATCTTTCCTCAAATAAATGTGATATTTCTTTCCCCTTGACTTGGCGAAATAGGACTAACAGATAATGCTGCATTCATGTAAACAGATCTTTAACATAATTCTAGCCTACAACGAGAAATAAGCAGTATCAATTAAATCACAATTGATTTGCAAGCCCTTGTTGAAAATAAATGTATTGCTAACCATGCAGTTATTAAGGTGCTTATATCTGAAAACTTGCTTGTGGAAGCGAGAAGGAAGAGTCACCCTAAATATATGTTTGTTTTCCTATTTACCAAATAGGAATTTTTTTTTCCTATCTACAATATCCTTATTCATGCAATATCTACAATTGTGCATGTTAAATTTTCCTGGGATTGGGGCAGGAGGTAGTCCTGTGGTGATAACTACACAGACCCAGCAAAAGGGTAAGCAATATCTAGAGAGACTAAGCGGGTAGGCTAGAGCTGGGAAGAACTGGCTTCCAATATCAGCACTGCCACTGACCATGGGAACTTCTCCCAATACCTGCTTCCTTATCTGTATGCCTAACATCTCCCTACAGGGTTATTTCGAGGATGACATGGAGAGCATCTACAACCTATTATGCATTCAGTAAATGACAGACAAGATTGCTATTGTTCCTGTGAAAGCTCTGCTTTTCACATGAATGATTCTCAAGCAGAGCCCACTGGATACTTCTGAATTCAGAGACTTAATAGGAAGCAGATCTCAATTAGAAATCTTTTTCTATTTTATTATTTATTTCTTACCCTACAAGCTTCCTTACCTTCACCTCTTTTTTTTTTTTCTCAAAATGACTCACTCTTTACTCAGTTTATTTAAGTGTTTAAGTGTATCAGTTGCGCTCAAAGTCAACTATCTCACACACACACACACACACACACACACACACACACACACAGTTTAAAATCAGTAAGGACTATTTATTGCATTGTCCAGATTATCTACCCTAGAATATAGGTAATGAGCAGCTTTATCACCAGAACAGAGAAATCATGGACTTTAATGGGTATTGAATAAAAATATGATTGAAAGGCTAGAAGTGAAGTGATACTAACATAACTAATAGACAAAAGAGCGCTGAGGCAATAACTATTTGGAATATATAACATAAAGTGAGGAGTAATGTGGAAAAAAACCTACAGGAGGAAAATGCTTTTCCTGACTAATTTTTCAAATTTTAGACATTTGTTCAAAAAAATCACAAGGCTGTAGGATCTTGAGAGAGCTAGACTTGTCATCAATGTTTAGGCAGAACAAAAGTTGAATTAGGTAAGAATGACATCCTCATCCATTTTGTTTAGGCTACCAATAAAAAAGGACTTACTATAGTCTTCCTTAGCACCCATCTTAGGTAACATCTTTCCATGGATCTCATAAAGTTTAAACCCCCATATTAAATCTTATACTTCCTGATTTATTGTCATTGTGGATGTAAAAAAGGGCTGATGATCATCTTTGTTTATAATCTTTCATAGATTTGAACAGAAACATTCAAAATTGCCTACTAATAAGCCTCCCCAAAGGCTACCGAGCTTAAGCAAATATAAAGTTTTGTAACCTACCAATTAACCTACAGAAGGTATTCCAAATAATTATATTCTGTCACTTTCTTATTCATACTTGACTCCAAAAAGTTCTCAACGTTTTACATGAATAATCTAGAAAATAAATTTTACTCTTGCCTTCACAGGCAGCATTAAAATGAGCAGGCACTTGTGTTAATATGTTATATTTTCTAATTTATTACTTAATTTTCCTACTGCCTGCTTGGAACTTGAGTTGTTCTGGTTAAAAAAATGATTGAAGGAGCAAACATAATGATACAAAAATTTAAATAAAGTTCACTCTTGCCATGAAATGGGATGTCAGTTTTGCAATCCATCTGCACTCTCCCACTAAGCTGGGTGGAGTTGGTCTAAATGAATCTGAAGACATTTATGAAATAAGCTAATACGAAAGGGCACTACAGCCCATTAAAAGCGACTCTCTTCCTCTTCCACAGCACGATGAAGGCCAGGGATGAATTTTAAGAGCTGTTTCCGGACACTTCCCCTTCTGCTTTTCCTGGGCAGAGTCCCAAACATGCTTGAGAAGTTGCCTTCCCACAAGGGAGACATGGACCCACTACTAGCAGAACTAATGCTCTGGTTCCTCCTTGAAGAACACCTCTTCAGAAAATCATCCCCATCCTTGAGGACAAAACACTCATCGTCTGTGCTTGTCTGCCGGCTGAAGGCTTCCCTGCTCGAGTCTTCAGACACACATGTCTGGTACCCATCCTCACTGTCTATCGTCATGGAGCTCAGGCAGCTCTTACAGCTGCTCTCACTGGATAAGCGACTCCGGTCCAGGAGAGCTGAACCCGGCAGGGGTCCAAACAAAGCTGATTCATCTATGTCCATATTTTCCAACCTTGGGCAGTTAGCTGCATCACCTAGAAAGCAGAAAACAAAGCCTACTGGGAAATGGATCTGAGCATCACTCCTTATAAGTAAATACACCAAATTTCTCTTTGAAGGGCACAAGAAAGAATAAGGGTAAATAATACTTTTCACTAAATTTTCACTTGCATGAATAAGTAACTGTTCATGAGGCCATTCAATAAACCTTATAGTATGATTTTTCAAACTATTTGTTCATGAACTAGTTTCCAGGTAAAAGGGTTCTAGGGTGACAAAAATGGTAATGCTAGATTAAAGAAATTGAAACAAGAGTCTCCATATGAGAACAATTCAACTCATCTAACAGTATGCCAGTGTGACTTATGAATTTCCAAAAGAATCATTTCTTATATTGTAGTGACCATGCCACCTTTTATTAAAATTATCATAGAAATGGGCTCCAAAGAATATACTTGGGGAAATGCCTCTTATGGATTTTCTCTATGAGTTCCTCTGATTTTTAGTTACTATCTTTTTTTAATAATTGTAAAATTATTATAACATCACTTGAAGTGTATGGGAAACACAGATATAAAACCTGCCCCTGTAGGCTGATTATTAGAGAATTCAAAGATGTTTAAAACAAAAAGGATATCTTCCAGCCTCGATATGCCCAGTTGATTCTTAGAACACTTTAATACTTAAATGCTTTGAAACGGTAGTGTACCCAGAAAACATCCCTGTCCTAAAATAAGTAATAATTCATTTGAAGAAATTGAATGTTATCTGCTTAGCTGAATTTCTTCATCAACCTTTTATAACCTACATCTGGGCTCTCCAAACTCAAATTTTAATCTCACACCAACAGCCTGTTCATATCCCACTTGTTTCTGTACTATTTGAGTTGGTTAGTATGCTGCTAGAAGAAAGGAGATTATTTGTAATACTAGCATGAGAAAAACATCATTAGAAGATGACTTTGCTTCAGGAAAAGTAACAGAACCTTACACACTCAGAAATTGTTTTATTTTGTGCTGATAATCTCTAATTCTGCTCTCCTTTGTCCTTGGTTGACACTATAAAAAGAGACTGCTTATTTTTCCATTTGATCTGCAAGGTTGAGTAGGGCCAGCCCTGTGGTGACTAGTTATAATGCTTTCCTTTTTGTTAACAAAACCAATTTTATTTCATCTCCCAACAAGTTGATGAATTTCTTTTGATTGGCGAGCAGTTGGCTTGTAGAAACTCATGCCCTGGATATTTACTGTAAGTCCAGAAAAAGTAAGCTAAAGAACTCCTTCAATCTCTCAAAAAATATGTACAACAATGACCTATGAAAAGTCAAACTCCTTGATTCTGAACTAAGGATCGTGTCTATACAAGGCCACTTCCATAAAGCCATAGAACTGCCTACACTTACCAGACCAAACCCCATCTCCACTCCAGGATGCTCCGGAAGTAGAGGCAAAGATATCCCAAACACCCTCAAGTCTACAGAAATCCAGGAAGTGGCCAGAAATGTGTGCCTCTGTCTGGTTAGCAAACTTCAGATCGCCCCCCAACAAAGCCTGCTATAGGTTTTTAAGAATATTAATTTAGAAACACAGAAAAGAGAAGTAACTCATACATGTTTCATTTTTTGAAAAAAGGAGAACTTTGACACAAGCCCCTAAGCCATAAATTAGTGCCTAATTAAGAATTAAATGTATCCATCTTCTGTAAACAGATTATCACTTTTAACAAACAGATATTCTAAGGTTATAGAGACGTTAGCTCTGTGTTATCTGAAGAAGATACAACCTATATTTCACACCCACACAGTTAGTGGTTTCAGTGAATTATTTGTATCTACAAGTTCATTCCTCAGGTTATACCAGTCACATGGCAAATGCCATGTCAACAAATTTTAAACTCAACCCTTCTTTTCAGAATGTACACAACAGCAAGAGCCATGCATTTACTGTTATAATGATCCTTCATATTTCTGTTTTGGATTTGAGGGCCATGAGGAAGGATTTCTCTGCATTACTGTAACTTACACAATTTGAGCAAATAATAGGAGCTCCACCCAAGAAGCATGTTACCATTCCCAGCTTCAAGAGTTTCTGAGAACTACCCTGCCCCTGAACCGCAGATGTTCTCAGGAATTTAATTCATCTGCTGAAGTAGTAGGAAAATCAGGCAATCATTCATATTACTCTTCTAAAATCCCCAGGTGCCTCTTGAGAGCGAGTGCACACATGCACCTGTGTCCATGTTTTCATGTGCATGTGTTCTGTGTATGGAGGAGGGGGTGTGATGATGACTTACCCCTCCTCCAAATACAGTGGTCACTCCAAAAGCCATGCCAAAGAAACACAGGCTACTATTCTCAATCCATGCTAGGCAATTTTTTTTCTTGTAATGATGATAATCTTAAAACAATTTAGAGGCAGAAATACTGAAAGAATGAAATGTAAGTGTGGTTTCTGAACAGGAAATCACATTTACCATGAAGCAGGCGCTGTTCCTGTAACTGCAGAGATCTGAACTCCACCCATTTTCTCTTCAAGGTTTGCTGAGAAAGAAGAAAAGTGCTAATTATTTGGAAACCCCAGTGAAGATAGCAATTTACTTCCAGGTGTTGAGATTTGTCATTAATTTTTTTTTCATTTCTTTCTATCACTAACAATCCCTCCCACTCATTTGAAAGATTCTTTTTCTGTATAAAAGCAGAATATTGGGAACACTAATTTCTCAAGAAATAATCTAGTATCACCAACAAGTTGAAACAATGATGTCATTTCAATAGGAACAACAGATAATAGAAACAATGATATTTATATTTTTTTATTTAAAAATATTAGAGAAACAGATTGCTTAGGTTTGTGTCCATTTACTAGCTGTTTCGGCAAGGCTTTTACACTCTAGGCTTCTTCCATTAGCAATATGAGAACAACGACAGCACCTAAACCTGGGAATTGTCATGAGGATTAAATGCATTAGTAAATGTAAAACGGTTGGAACAGTGGGTACAGCTTAGTAAATGTTCAAAAAATACCATGATCATTTTGAATGGATACAGAAGACGTGGTACACGTACACAACGAAATATTACTCAGCCATAAAAAAAGAACGAAATAATGTCATTTGCGGCAACATGGATGGACCTAGAGATTATCATACTAAGTGAAGTACGTCAGACAGGAAAGATAAATACCATATGATGTCACTTATATGCGGAATCTGAAATATGATACAAATAAACTTATTTACAAAACAGAAACAGACTCACAGACACAGAAAACAAACTTATGGTTATCAAAGTGGGAACGGTAGGAGGGATAAATTATGAGTATGGGATTAAGAGATACACACGCTATACCTAAGATAGTAAACAACAAGGATTTATTCTACAGCATAGGGAACTACATTCAGTGTCTTGTAATAACAAGTAATGGAAAAAAATCTGAAAAAAAATAGATGTATAACTGAATCACTTTGCTGTACACCTGAAACAAATACAATATTATAAATCAACTATACTTCAATTTAAAAAAAAAAACCCATCATTCTATAAGGCTGGGGCACTAAAATAGTCTTTTCTGCTGGATATCTACTTATTTTCTATACCCAAAAGGGGAAGCTGACCAGTTCTAAAAGGCTTCCTTGGAGGGCTAAACTTAGAACACTGTAAGCACCCTGACTTCTTAACTGCTTCCTTCTTGGCTACACCGCACATGAGAGCAGTGGCCCAGGGAAGGACGAAACGGCTGCTGTAATGGTCACGACTGCACGTGAGGCCTGGCCTAGCCCACAGGCTGGAATCAAAAGTCAACCAAGCAGAAGGCATCTGACAAGGCAAAAAGGCTCCTTCTCCCTCCCCCTCTTTTCTCTTTACTCCACCCCTTCCTTTGCCATTTCAGGTCCCCACAGCAAGTCCAGCAGGTAAGCACAGCTCAGATTTGCCTGGGGACACTTATCCTGAAGGACAGCCAGCCTAGTTGGAAACAAGTGGTCCTTTGTACAAATCAATCTGGAAGGGGCAGATGAAGGCTAAAAAGGAAGAGGGGAAAAAAAGCACATTTGGAAGGGGAAGACTGAAGGAAAAGAAAATATTACAAGAATGTCATTAAGTGTTTAAGGGGGAACGTGGCTGGTTCCTCAGTTCAGGGATTGAACAATCACTGGGCAGGATTTTCCAAGCCTTGATAAGAGTAACATTTAGCAGCAATCATTATGATTGTCAATATAATATGCAATCAATGAGTCAAAGCCATAAAATACCCGGCTCAGTTAATTTCTTGTTCTTTCTGTACTATAATATAGTCTACCTGGCTATGAGACTGCTGGGCTACCTGAATTACAGCTCTTGTAAACCTGTGGTCATGTGAAGGTCAGAGTTAGGAAACCAGGAAGTACAGAACTAGCAGGGATCTGGCATATTATATACCAAGCCCTTTTTTCTTTCTTAAAGAGGTTTATCTCTTGCAAGAGAATAGAGTCTAGTTGGGGAGCATAAGGATAGACTGATGCTCAAAACTAATTATAGGGAGAAGAGGAAGTTGTATTTCTGCACTTACTATGCAGAAATACAAAGTTAGAGCTTGCCAAACAGTTTCTGTGAAAGTCAAGGTTTTTAAATGTCAAATCTGTTGATTTGTCCCAGTCATCTAAGTATGTCGTCACTTAAACCAAGAAAATACCAATGCAAAGAGCAGATGTGTCAAAGTGACTAAGAGTTTTTAGTCTATATTGAAGCTTCCTTATTTTCCTCAGAGTCAGCCTATTATTAATATCACAGTAGTGTATTTGGACAAATCTAACCTCTCACTGTTAGAAGAAAATTAAAGTACATGTGAGACGTAACCCTACTGGATCACGTCACCTCGCTGTGCCTAGCTCAGCGCCTGGTACATAGCAGATGCTCAGTAAATATTGGCTAAATGAATAAATGAAAGGATGGCTTCCTGGAACAACACTCAGCTATCACAGACTGGATATTTTGGTTGAACATATCTCCAACGTTTTCATTCTACATGAGACATATAGCTAAACATTTTCATGGCACTTTACTACTTTTATAGCGCTTTCATGGATAATATGCTGTTTAATTTTTCTAACTGTCCTAAAAAGTTCCAGATTAGAAAATAAAGGTTTAATGTAGCAAAATATTTCCCAAGGGCTACAAACGCAGTAAATATCAGAGCTGGATTAAAAAGTAGGTCCCTCAGCCCACTAGATGTACTGTTTTCATGTTAAACATTTGAGTCACAGGCCATGAGAAAGGGAATCCCTGAAAACACAGCTCAGAAGGCACCATTGTTTCTAAAGAAGAGGTTATGGCCCCACAAAGAGTCTTTGAGGGACACAATGCACACGTAGGATGCACAAACTAAATGTCATTGTGTGAAGGGGAAGCCAACCTGACTCTGGTTAATAGGTCAGACCCAGACATTTCTGACTCAAGAGATGAGCTGGAAATCTCATAATTTCAAGATTAGAAAAGGAACAGAAATGAAAGAAAGTGAGCAGAAATGAACCCGAAAGTCTTCTGGACCTGGAGAAAAAGAAAGAGGTCACAAGGAAATTGGACCCTATGGCGATAGTTTAAATGCAATTATGTGAGGCAGAGACAAAGACAAGTTTCCTGCTTGAGAGAAGAACCTTGGCTGAAGCTCCACCATTGTGAAAAGGAGCTGAGCAAAGCTGTTGAGGGCGACTAAAGCTCATGGAGAGCATGGACCCAGAGAAGCAGGAGCACATAAACGTAGCCTCATGACCTGAACTGAGCAGCACACTGGCCCTCCAGGGAAGGCATCCAAGCTGCCAGACCTGGCTTTAGGCCGGAAGCCTTGAAGTGCAGAGCAGAGGCCACTGCCCAACTCTCACACTGAGTGGAAGGGAGAGGCCCAGGGAAATGGGCAATCCAGACTCTGGAGCTCCACAGAAGTTTAATGATAAGAAAGACAACAAAACTGATAATCAGTACATGGACTCTCTACAACAAAATAAAAATAGAAAAGTGTTCAAAGACTTTAAAATAAGAATATTTACAATCCTCTGAGAGAGAAATGTGATGTTCCTAAGAATAAGAAATTTGAAACAAAGGAAGAACAGATAGACACGAAAAAGAACTATTTGAAAATAAAAAATTAACTTTCAAAACTCAAGAGAAAAAACACATTCTACACAGAACACAGACAACATTACTGAAGATATTACTAAAGAATTCAAAAGAATTCAAAAATAACATAACAGTGAAAAGAACTGCAAAAAAGAATATAGATGTAGTAGATGTAGACACATGTATGTATAACTCAGTCACTTCGCTGTACACCTGAAATGAACACAATATTGTAAATTGACTATACTTCAATAAAAGATAACATAACAAAAGAGATAAAGTGATACAAAATCTGAAGTGGTTAGGAAGCATGGAAAGTAAATCAAAAGAGTCTGAAATATGTCTAACAGAAATTTCAGAAGATAATCCAGGGAATGATGAGGAAGGTGTATTCAAAAAGGCCAAGCTGATAATTATCCAAAACTGAAGAAAGTCAGAAGTCTTTAGACTGGAAGGACACTGCAAGTTCCAAGCAGTATAAATTTAGAAATGAATCCAGACCTAATCACCTTGTGGTGAAACTGTAAATCAGGAAAGACAAAAGAACATCTTAAAAGCAACCAGCAAAAGATGAAAAATTGCCCAAAATTGAAATGCTGGGTTTTGAAAGGAGCTTAAAAATGGGAAATCCTCTAGAGAGAATTACCAAGAAAAAAAAAAATAGAAAGAAGGCATAAAAAGTAGTACAAATGAAAATGGGGACACAACCACAGCTGTGATAGAAAAGAAAAAGATGAGAACAGAATGTTTATTATCAACTTCATGCAATAAATTTGAAAATTTTAAAACTTTATTAACAAAAACATCATTCAATAAACCTGGCTCAAACAAACAAACAAAAATAGAAAGCCTGAGCAGTCTTATGGCTAATAAAGAAACTGAAACAGAGTTTAGAAGTATTCACATCAAAAAGAAACACAAGCCCAGATGATTCAGATAGCGTTACAAGAATTCTACCAGAGGACAAAAAGGGGAAGAGACTCCTCACCTCATGCTAAGAGTCCAGTAAATTTGATACCAAAACTAAAAAAGATAGTCTGAGAAAAGAAAATTACAAGCCATTCTACCTGTAAGATGAAGTTACCCTCAACAGTGCTAAAGAAAATGTTATCAAATCAAATCTACAAGTATATTAAAAAGATAATAACTTATGACCAGGTTGGATTTATTATAGAAATGCAAGGGTGGTTTTACATTAGAAAATGTTTAAATGTTATTCACCAAATTGACAGATTTTTAAAAATAAATAAATGAGACCACCTCAACACTTACAGAAAAAAAGTATTTGATACAATTTAATACACGAGCACTGTAAAAACTATCAGAAAACTTGGTGTAGAAGGGAACGTCCTTAACCTGAAAAGTATAACCCTAGAGACAGGAAAGAATCAAAAGAATTCCCTTTAAGGTCAAAAGCAAAGCAAGGATGCCTACTATTTTAGCTTCTATCCATCATTGTATTATAGGCCTTAACCAGTGTAGCAAAATCAGAAAAAGAGCTAAATATCATTCTCAGCAGGTAGTTATTATCTTCATGAGAAACTCAAAATAATCTTTAATTTATTAGAAATTATATAGTTTAGCAGGGTGTTTGAATATAACAGCACAGAAAAATTGATTTCACACATCTACACATTAATCTCAATCAAAACATTATTTTTAATAAAGAAACTATAATAAGAACAAAAATCATTTTACAAAGGAATAAATCTAATAAAAGCTGCATAGGATCTATCTGCATAAAATTACAGGAATTTATGGAAAGAAAATAATTAAAAATTATTTACTGAGATAGTCTGTCAGTAAGATAACTCAATACCATATGGATGTCAAGTCTCCTCAAATTGATCTATCTATATAAAGCTGTATTATCTATCAAAGCTCCAACATACATTCATAGAACTTAACAATCTGATTCTAAAATGTATACAGACAATCAAAGGGCCAAGAATAACCTGGAAAGCTTGCCCAATCAGACATCAATATTAATTACAAAGGTACAATAGCTGAGTTTGAAATAAACAAATTGATCAATGGATCAGAATTGGAAGCCTGTAAGGTCCATTCATATCTGGAACTAGCTTAAAAATAGAGGTTTTACTGCAGGTCCGTTGGGGAAAAAGAAGGACTGTATAAGATAAATGGTACTGGGAGAACTGAGTACTCAAATAGAAAAAAATAAAACAAAATTGGAATCCTATCTCATACTACATACAAAAATTAATTCTGAATAAATTAAAGACCTGGATATTAAAAAGCTTTAAAACTTTTAGAAGAAAATATAGAAAATGCAGAATACCTTACAAAGGATAAACAATTAGGAGCTCCCTCATAAACAAAATATCAAAGGAACAAAGCGTTCAAAGTGCTAAGGAGACAAAACACCAACTTAGAATAATTCAATTACCTGTAAAACTCTCTATAGTAGCAATGAAATAGATATTTTTCAATAAAGACCCACCTACCCTCACTAAAGGAGTATAATACTACAGCAAGAAGGAAAGTAAACCCGGAGGTAAAGAACAGAATACAAGAAACAAGGGCAAGGCTGACAGTTCACAGGTTGGTATACTTGCTTACCAGTTGTTAAGAAAAAAAGCCTGTCTTTTTCATTTTAAAAATGGATAGAATTTTCTCAAGTAAGCAATAATAAGGAAGATGGAGCCTTAAATGGACATTTAAACATGTTAAGGTCCTCATGATGTTCTGGGAGAGGATGGAGATGTTGAAAATTTTCTAGGTTAGAAAAAATAATAAAGCATGTATATTAAAAGTTCAAGAGAAAATGTTCGAAGAACAGAAAATGCTTAGAAGCATGCAAATATGTGTTGTGCAAGAGAGTTCTTTATTCCATGAAACATAAACCTATTTTTCACTTATGTTTTAAATAACATTACTAGTTTACATTCTACATTTCTTTCCTTTTTTTTTTACAAAAGCCTGAAAAAGCCAGTTTTACTTTTTTGAATATGAGGTTCACTAAGACTCTCTCTTTTGCAGAAACAAATTAACTTTCGACAGTTTAAAAAACCTAAATATAATATGAAGAACTATTTACTCCTTACAAAAATTTAATGATAAAATGTTAGAGGCACCCCTTTTAACATGAAGAAGATGACTCACTATTTATAACACCCTGAGGGTCCTAGCCAATACTGTAAGAGAAGAAAAAATAAACTAGTTGAATAATTGGGAGTAAAGGGGCAAAACTTTCATTATTTGCAGATGATACTATGTTTATATAAAAAAATCCAAGGGAATCTACAAACATATTACTAGAATAAAGGGAGTTCAGCAAGACTCCTGGATTTAAAACTTTACACAAAAATCAATAGCAATAAGCAGTTGAAAATGTAAAAGACCACATTAATTATAGCAAAAAAATTAGAAGGTATATAGGAATAAATATAATCAAAGATATATAAAAATGTATGAAGAAATTACAAAATGTTTTTGAAGTACATAAAAGACCTGAATGGAAAGAGAGATCCTGTGTTTGAAGTAAGGAAAGCAAAAACCATAATAACGTCGATTGATATCATTTATTCTATAAATACGATTCAATTACTATCACAGTCTGAAGAGGACTTTTTTCCGATGAATTTTATAAATTGATTCAAAAGATCACAGGGGTAAGCAAAATGACAAGAATATAAAACCAATGTTGACAAAGAAGAAAACAGGTCTTGTTGATGAATTAAATGTGGTAGAAGGGAGGAATAAAAGATAAAGTAGGAATATACTAACTCTGCCCTCCTGAGCTCAATAACTGAGCGCATCCTGAGATGCACATGAGCGAGGGCCTAGACTTCATGGTCTGCCAGAACCTCACCAGTCTAGGAAACTGAGATTTTTAAGACCCTCAAATAGCCTAGAGAATTTTCACTGAACATCCTGCATTGTACACTATCTCCTGTAAACTTTAATTTCCTCTTCAAAGTTGACATTGTATTTGCCAGTGAAAGTAGATACAAGGACAGCCACAGGAGTAGAGGGAGATGATTTTTGTAGTAAGAATGAGGCAAAACGAAAGGACGCAGAGGAGGACAACAGAAAAACAAAAATCCCAGGCCCTCCTGCACACATATATAGCACTTGGGAAAATGACAAAAAGACAGCTTCTACTTCTTTGGTTTTTTTCCAAACAAAATGTAAATCGAAAGAGATCACAGGTGCATTAATGAAAAGTTCTTCAGGTGATGTGCCTTCCTGTTGCCTTTCTGAGCCTCATAGACATGCAGAAGAAGGAAGGAAGAAAGTGATTTGCCCTGGTTTGTGGAATTTAATATTCCTGCAAAGGTAATTGTATGGCTCTTGATAATTCAGCAGTTTAGTCTCATCACGACATTTCATCTTCAAGGGCTATCTCAATTCTTCAAATAGATCTTTATTCTACCACTCACATTCAAGGATGAAAAATGTGTCTCACTGTATTAAATTAAATTACCTTTAAAACTTGCAGCTTTGCCTCAAGCTCTGTTCTTTTGAGAATCATTGTTCCATTAAGAGTCTCTATCCTGTTTTAAGAAAACAAGGAGGGGCAGGGGAATAGCATGAGTGATTCTTTCAAACAAGTAACATCCTTATGGAGTACTACACTTTGAGCACAGGCTATCCTTAAAAAGTAACGTAAATGTTACCATTCTCACGGCACTTCAAGCATCTGGATGTAAGCCAAACCTTCTGACAACATTCTAAGAAAGAATATGGAAAATAAATACTCTCTTTGAGAGGGTGACTGAAAGAGAAGACTCTGGTTTATTTGTAAACTGTAGCTCATTTTACAGAAGCCCCTATATGGCAATGACGGTTGTTCTCTGCTAGAACCTATTCTTGTGTGGTCTGGGTGAATCACCTCCTTTATTTGGTGAATATTTATTGGGCATCTACTATGTGCCAGACTCTAGACATCGTGCTAAAAGTGAGGGATACAGCAATGAAAACAGGCACTAGGGACTTTCAAACAATGGAGTCAAGAAGCTATTTCTTGAAACAAGCGGAAATCCTTTCTTCCCTAAGATTCTAGGAAATTTTACCTCTGTAAATTGCCTTAATTTTGGAACTAGAACAAATAGAACCAGAACTACTATGAGATAATAACTTTCATATGACTCTCATCTCAAAACCTTTTAAGTGTACAAACTTTAATCTTAGAATTATCCATCTAATGGTGTTCTTTCTCCCTATACCAAATGCCCTTCTAAAAATAAAAAGACTTGCTCTATCCTGAGTGATTTGATTTGTTTTGTGGGCTCAAGTTAGATGCCATCAATCTGCATAAGATAAATATGATATGTGAGTTATACAACTAAGCATTTTAAAATATTGGTTCAAATTCATTTTGATAAATAAGCTATAACTCTATAAAGATGCAAGAAAATTTTCAAGACATGGTAAAATAATAGTATTAAATGCAGAGACCAGTTTCCCTCTATTTCCAACAGCATTATACCCAAGATAATGAGATGATAGCAAGAGAACACGTTGTCCGCTTTCTCATTAGCGGGTCTTGACTCTGGGCGATAGTGACAATCCCTATGAATCTATTTGGCACTTTAATGTTGACCTGACCTGCCCAAGCAATAGATGTCTGTGGGCAGAACTGCAGCCATAGATTGGCCGCTCTCTTCAGTATTTGTACAAAGAGTCTCTCATCTTCCTTATCTCTGGATTTCCAATTGTCTCCACCCAATACTCTTTAATTATCCACCTGAGGTCTGCCCACTTTACCCATCTGGAATATAGGTTTCTGTTTCTAATCACCAGCATGTTCTCCTGGACTCTATATGATTCCTACCTTATAGACTCAAGTTTCTCTGGAGCTCAAGTGGCCCCAACCTTTACCCTGAACTCATAGGATTCACAGAGTTGGACTCAGTCCTCTACCACCACCAGTCATCTTTCAAAACTACTCTCACACAAACCCCAAAGAAATATTCTTTGAAGTTTTAGACTAGAATCACTAAAGAGTGTCCAGCAGATTTTTTATTGGCAGCTTACAAGGAGCAGCTGTGGTGTAGCTGGAGAATAAAGCCTGGCATCCAGAGCAGATGGTCAAATCCCAGCCCTGGCATTTACTAGATGGTTGGTCTTAACTAAACCTCATTTCAGCCTGAGTCACTTCGTTTATAAATAGAAATATAACTAACTTCCGTGAAGAATAAATGAGATGATCAGAATAAATTCTAAAACTATTAAGCCTGGCTGGTGAGGCCCATACTCTGCTCCCTGGAGAACTCTTCTGTCTTCATTTCTTACTATATTCTTCCTAATTCACCAACCACCAATTACACTGGCTTCCTCTCTATCCCTTGAATATGCCAAGCCCACTTTGAGAACTCAGAGACCTCTCCCTTTATCTGAAATGTTCTCACCAGGAGTTCATCTAACCATCCCTTCTCTTCATTTCGCTCTCAGCTCAAAGCTCACCTTCTCAGAAAGGACCACTTTAAACACTTAAGCTAAAATAGCAGCCCTCTCACTCAATGTGCTATCCCATTTCTTGTTTTACCTTCTTTATAGCAGTTATCAATAACTGAAATATCAAAATTACTTACTGTTGCAGGCTCTTCTTACCTATCTCCTTCCACAATAAAGCAATAGAAGAGTCTTTATCTCTCCTGAGCCTATCACAGAGCTGGAAACATAGTATTTGCTCAATAAATATCGTTTTAGTGAATGGGTGAATTCCATCTTTTAACTAATTACTAAGGTCTTATTAGTTACTAAGGGTGGAAATGTCAGTTGAATCTCTAACTGGGGAAACAAATGTCCCAATAGTAAGTTGGGAATAGTAGCAGATGTGAGTGTGTGTGTTGCACGGCATGAGGGCCGAGCAGACTGTTCTTTCAAACAGAACACTAGGAGAGAAAAACAATTGGCTGGTGGTAGAAGAGGAAAAAACTCAGTCCTTCTGACCTTTCATTTGTTCTAACCACAGGATTATATCAGCCATGGAAATTGGACCCATTCCTCTCTGTCCAAAGAGAATGTGTGCCAGTTTAATTGAATTTGAATTAAAAATAAAATTTTAAAAATGCTATCCCGCCCACTCAGATGTTTGGACTATTGATGTCCTCTGACTTCAGATGTTGACAACATGTTCAAGTTTGAGGAAACCTTGAGAAACAAAAGGAACTGATAAAAACGTCTGTACCCAATCCCCAAGCTATGGTGCACTGCCTCCCTTCTTGTGATCCTGAACAAAAAGCCTATTCATTCACTCAACAGGCATTATGAGACACCGTAACATTTTTGAAGTCCCACGGGAAGCAGCCAGATAGTTACATTAGCAGGTTTCCTGATGATCTGATCAGGTCAACAACTTGTTTGTGGGTAAAACCTTCTGTGCTCACACCATTGATATTTGCAAGGACATCACCTGGGAGATGCCAAGAAAAATGAGTGTTAAAACGGTTGGTTAAATAATCTTTCCTGACCCACGAATGAAATAAAACAAGCAAGACCCAAACCTTGGCAACATAAAGGAGTTAAGGAAATTCAAAGCAACAATCATGTCCTGACCTTCACTATCAAAAAAGTTATTTTTCTTGCTATTTAAATAATTCCTAACATGAGCATAGTTCTAACTTACCAGCTTGCAGGCCAGCGCAGTGTGCTGGGCTGTCCTCCTGGATTTTGCAGATCAGGGTGCACATCTCTGAGGAGCAGGTGTTCTGGTTTTGGAGCCTGTAAGTCTGTAAAATTAAAGGGATACATAATTACCAATACCAAATATAAAATAGATTACCATTACCAAAAAGCTCAAAATCTATTTGTTAAAAAAATATTAAGTGGTATCAGTTACCTTAAGCAGCATAATAGATAAGTGCAAAGAACAATTTGGGAAGCTTTTCTGAATATAAACTAAATCTAAGTACCAATCTTACACTTCTCCCACACAATCTGTAGCTGACTCCATTCATAAAAAATACATCTGGCTTAGGGAAGAAAGTAGGATAAGACTGGCTTAAGACTTTAAGACTTTCAAGCCTAAGAGACCACCTGATGCTATCATTATTGCATATTTAACAAGAAAAATTTGGTTTCTCTTTTCCCAATGGGCTAAAACAATAATGGCCAAGAGCAGAGAGAAAAATCTCTATGTGGTTCTCCCGAGCTAAAGTACTTATTACAGGAGCGTATGAAACAGTACATATCCAGCAAGGGGGATATGCCAACAATAATTATTTTAAATCAGAGTTCTGCAAATAATGACAACCTGCCCTGCATTCATTCAAAAGCACTATGATTGACTCAATTACCTTCATTCCTGAGCGCTCAGTGGTACATCTCCCCTAAATACTCATTCATTAGCCACTCGATTAAATTAGAAAAAGTTATGCTTCGCCTCTGGCCTCAATTTGGCAAAAGCAGCTTGGTTTTGTTTTTGTTTTTGTTTTCGATTTGTACCAAGAACACAGCACAAATGTTTGGTGAACAGAGTGGCCCAAGGACCTATATTTTTCTTTTTCACATATTTAAGTTATGAGGTCTCGCTGCATTTAGAATCAAAATCAGCATTCTGAGTTGAGTAAGTCTTCTAAACATCGGTTTCCTAAAATTAAAACACATTCCAGCACTGCTTCCCTGTGGAAAAATGAATGTCCGCTGTTCATTCCTTTTGATTTTACAGACCGACAGGCTCCAGAACCAGCAGAACCAGAAGTCAGTCAAACTTCTAGAAACTTGACTTTGTTAACCTAAGAGATTTCTATGTACTCTGCAAGGCATTTAGAATCCCCGTATCTTAAAGATAGAGGGGACTTTCAGAGATCGTGTAATCTACTTTCCATCTATGCCAGAGATCCCTTTAACAGCTTTTCTGCCAGGGAGTCTTCTTGCCACAGCCCGGGCCCTTCCAGAGATGGAAGGGTGGTCTGGCTCATGGAGGACATGAACCAAAGCTATAACAGGCCCTCCTTTGGGAAACCACTGTTGTAATGATTCTCATTAGCAGTGAGAATCTACCCTCCATGTCCAGGGAGCAAGGTGAGTACAGTGAAGGGGAAACATGTTAATTGGTGTAGCCTGCACCTGTGTATATGTTTGCAACAGGTATAAAATTTGTGGCTTAGAGAAGGAAAGGCAGAGGTCCCCAAGTTTTGGAAAGAAATTATTAGTTGGATATTTCTCTCTTTTATCCAGTCTTCTGGCTCAATCATTTTCTAGAGACACAAAAGTACATTGCCTTTCTCATGCCTGATAGCCTTCATTCTAACAGTTGTCGTTTGCTGATCTTCTACTGGAACCAGGCACATTACTAAGTACTTTATGTGTTAGTTCATTTGAAGTGCCTAAGAACCCACTAAGGTAGCCCTGAAAGAATATGAACTCAGGTGTACATGAATCTAAGGTCTATCTTCCTGCCAAATTACTACATTACTCTCTGTAGCAGCAAAAAACTAGCACCCATGGAAACCAGAGGAGGTGGACTTGTTCTCTCCCAGCATGCCCTGCACCTGGTAGACCAGGGCCCAAATATGTGTTAATGATGGGGGCACAATAAGGGTACGTGAGGTTCTATCTGGTCTTCAAAATGTTCCCAGAGCATGTCCCCTATTTGATGACTACTACAAATCTTATGAGTACTAGAGAATAGGTTATGGTGTAGAGCTGGTAATGGAAAGCATACACCGTAAGGGAATTTGCAGAGGAGTGGATCCTTGCATCACTAAGATAGCACAGACATGCTGCAGTCCGGAGGTGAAGCCATTAGCTCACATGAATCCACAAAGTTTCAAGGCACTATAGCCTGCTGTCTACTAATGATAGTTTTGATTTGATTCTTGCTTCATGTAGAGTGTTTATGGTATAAGGGAGAAACATGGGGGAAGCAGTGACATGTCTGTAGAAAAATGAGAAGAGATCCTCGCTGGTTACATTAAGTAAGAGTAAGTGAGTAGACTTTGCTCCTGTTTTCAGTAGCAATCACTGCACATCCTTGGGGATAATCTCATTTGAAAAGAAGTGGTCACAAAAAGCCTAGTGTCTCTACAACAGAATAAGGAGCGTTTCATGTGAATGAGGAACAAGAGAGAGTATTATGCTTCTAAAACCTGATGGAAGAATTAGAGATTTCACCAAATTCAAAAGTAGAGGAGTTAAAAAAGGAGAAGGTCTCTTCTTTTCTCCTAGAGCCTTCTCCCTATTCATTGCAGCTAGAGTTCCATTTTGTTTCTTTATTCATAAAACACATCTTACATAGCAGCTTCCTGTTCCTAATCTAAAAACACACTGACTTTACAACTGTGGGGCTTATATTTAGTCACCAAAGTTTTCTGAAGGCAGCACCAAAGTTAAGATATAAAAACTGATGTGCAGTATAAGGATATGGTTATGCAAAATGCCTCTAAAAGAAATGCAAAAGTGTAATGGAAAAAGAACACAGTAATACTTAAACTACTTCTCTTGCACTTAATTAGACTAGACTTCATTTGACCTAACTCACCACCTTAGCAAATATGGCCATGAAAAGCAGACAGCAAATAAGAAATGAAATTCTTAGGCTATTAAATAGAAATCCATAAAGAAGTCAAAATTTTCCTAAAGCATGAGACAATATGCACATAGAGCCAAATGTTCTTAAGTGTTTCAAATAATAGTTTAAAAATGTCGCCATAGTGAAAGCAATCTTGAGAAAGAAAAATGGAGCTGGAGGAATCAGGCTACCTGACTTCAGACTATACTACAAAGCTACAGTAATCAAGACAATATGGTACTGGCACAAAAACAGAAATATAGATCAATGGAACAGGATAGAAAGCTCAGAACAGGATAAACCCACACACATATGGTCACCTTATCTTTGATAAAGGAGGCAAGAATATACAATGGAGAAAAGACAGCCCCTTCAATAAGTGGTGCTAGGAAAACTGGACAGCTACATGTCAAAGAATGAAATTAGAACACTTCCTAACACCATAAGCAAAAATAAACTCAAAATGGATTAAAGATCTAAATGTAAGGCCAGACACTATAAAACTCTTAGAGGAAAACATACGCAGAACACTCTATGACATAAATCACAGCATGATCCTTTTTGACCCACCTCCTAGAGAAATGGAAATAAAAACAAAAATAAACAAATGGGACCTAATGAAACTTAGCTTTTACACAGCAAAGGAAACCATAAACAAGATGAAAAGACAACCCTCAGAATGGGAGAAAATATTTGCAAATGAAGCAACTGACAAAGGATTTATCTCCAAAATATACAGTCAGCTCATGTAGCTCAATATCAAAAAAACAAACAACCCAATCTGAAAATGGGCAGAAGCCCTAAGTAGACATTTCTCCAAAGAAGGTATACAGATTCCCAACAAACACATGAAAGGATGCTCAACATCACTAATCATTAGAGAAATGCAAATCAAAACTATAATGAGGGGCTTCCCTGGTGGCGCAGTGGTTGAGAGTCCGCCTGCCGATGCAGGGGACACGGGTTCGTGCCCTGGTCCGGGAAGATCCCACATGCCGCGGAGTGGCTGGGCCCGAGAGCCATGGCCGCCGAGCCTGCGCGTCCGGAGCCTGTGCTCCGCAACGGGAGAGGCCACAACAGTGAGAGGCCCGTGTACCGGAAAAAAAAACAAAAAAACCCCTGCAAAATACTGTTTAAATGCTGGAGAGGGTGTGGAGAAAAGGGAACCCTCTTTCACCGTTGGTGGGAATGTAAATTGATACAGCCACTTTGGAGAACAGTATGGAGGTTCCTTAGAAAACTAAAAATAGAACTACCATATGACCCAGTAATCCCACTACTGGGCATATACCCTGAGAAAACCATAATTCAAAAAGAGTCATGTACCACAATGTTCACTGCAGCACTATTTACAATAGCCAGGACATGGAAGCAACATAGGTGTCCATCCACAGATGAATGGATAAAGAAGACGTGGCACATATATACAATGGAATATTACTCAGCCATAAAAAGAAACGAAATTGAGTTATTTGTAGTGAGGTGGATGGACCTAGAGTCTGTCCTACAGAGTGAAGTAAGTCAGAAAGAGAAAAACAAATACCATATGCTAACACATATATATGGAATCTAAAAAAAATGGTTCTGAAGAACCTAGGGGCAGAACAGGAATAAAGACGCAGACATAGAGAATAGACTTGAGGACACGGGGAGGGGGAAGGGTACGCTGGGACGAAGTGAGAGAGTGACATTGACATATACACACTACCAAATGTAAAACAGATAGCTAGTGGGAAGCAGCCGCATAGCACAGGGAGATCAGCTTGGTGCTTTGTGACCACCTAGAGGGGTGGGATAGGGAGGGTGGGAGGGAGACGCAACAGGGAGGGGATATGGGGTTATATGTATACATACAGCTGATTCACTTTGTTATACAGCAGAAACTAACACAACATTGTAAAGCAATTATACTCCAATAAAGATGTTAAAAAAAAACACATCACTAATGCAAATATATAAAATGCACATTATAAAGAGTACATCACTCTCTTATTTATGAGCTGGCTGATATCAAGAATTTCTGATCAGTCCCAAACCTACCAGAAGACTAAAGCGCTACAAACAAGAAGCAGACTATGTCTCAGGGTGGGTTTTTTATCCGCTGAATGTTTTCTTTCCTAGATGGTACCCAACACACTGAAAAACTACCAAAAACATTGAAAACAAGTCACAGCCTCCATCATTCCCTAAGCCCAACTTCATTCTTTCTCTGCAAATATCATGACATAACCAGTGCCACTTTCTTCACTAAAAGTCTGGAAAATCTGAAAACTGCCCACCTGAATTTCAAACCCAAATTTTCCTTTATCTTGTTTTTCCACAGTAACAAGCTTTCTGTAAAACAAAAAACAAAAAAATTAGGCATGAAGATCAAAGTATAACATTTGGCACATACCTATCATTAAAAATAACTGTCAATAAAAAATAGCTGATGTTTATGTAAACTGTAGTATATAAGACTCTATGTGTGTGTGTGATATCATCAGCCTGGAAAGCTGTGTTCCTAAATATCTTGCTGAGAAACCAAAAAATAAATTAATTTCTTTACCTTTGAGACCAGAAAAAGTCACCTAAAGAACTTGATCTCGTCAGAGCAAGCTGAAAAACACAAGCACACAGTTATTGAAAGGTCCTTAAGACACATCTGCAAAATGTTCTATATCACAAAGGACTTTGTTCTTTATCACCTTCTTTGGCCCAGCTCCTGGGAAATTGTTACGGAAAGGCTGTAATTTCCATTCTCTAGCGATAGCAAAGGAGAGCTGGGAAAGGGATCGTTCAGGCAGTCCGCTTGAAAGATTAAATGAGGCTTCCATAATAATACCCCATGGCAAAAGAGTTAATGTAATGTGGCAAAGCTCCAAAGCTTCCAAAAAGAACTTCACATCTAATCTGTATTTAAAATAGCCTCTGAAAGGTTAACCGCAGCAATTTATAATCACACTGAAATCCAAAGAAAAATAACACCCATGGAATGGCATATAAAACCCAAATAGTTGATAGTTTGGGGAGATGCTGATGAAATGACTGTGTTTATTGTAATAGTTCAATATGTTACTGTTTTTAGCAGGATAAAATCATCTCCAAAGAACTAACTAATACCCAGAAGCACAATTCAGGTGAAATCAGAGGCTCAAAAACTCAATTCTTTTTATGATTTATTTTTGCAATAGTTTTAAAAGAGTACAGTGAGATTTCCAGCCAAGAAAGGAAAGGAACCTCAGAATGATGTAAATGGTATAAATAACATCACCTTTACTCCTCTGCATGTTTTGGGAAAAGATCATATAAACATAAGCTTCCAGGATACAGTCTACCGTTATAAACAAAGTAAAAGTTAACAAAAAGTGGCATCTTGTTTTTAAGGTAATTATACTGAGTTTTTGTGTTTCTTGTTTTGTTTATTTGCTTAGGAATTAACAAATGTTAATTAGCTCTTTCTCAAGTGTTGGTCCAGGGCTCCAAAACATAAGCTCATTCTACTAGTTAACCCATGGTGTTTATTTAACTGGCAACCTATTATGCTTCTCATATGTCAAGGACTACAGAAAATATCAGGAGATCAATGCAGGAGTCCAAACAAATAAAAGTAAAATAGAGGATGAAAGCCAGGAGAAAAACACATAGAAGAAATGAATGCACAAATTAAATCTTCATCAAGGCATTTGTTAGTGGAGAAGTTTACATCACTATAAGGAATTTGAATTACCAAGTACAAAATGTCAGCATTCTCACAAATTTTCTGGAATGGCTCAGTGTTCAGAATTTGGCCACTGGTCAGTAATGTTAACGTAATGAAGACCTACGAAGACCTCTTCCTAACAATTTGATGTAAATTAATCAGATTTTCCTCTCTTGTCAGTTTTGGACTTCAAATCATTTATATCATCGTGAAGACTGCAATAGGAAGGCTCAGAACCAAAAAAAGAAAAAAGTTCTCTATATTTGCTAAAAAAATATCTATTTTCAATTTATAAGGACTAACTGTGGAAGACCTATAACAGTTTGTATGGTTTGTTTCAGCCTGATTTCGTCCTGATAAGTACCATTAACAAGGGTGGGGACCATTCAGTTATGCAGTAGGCTGCCTTCTTGAGGAAGATAGCAGTAAATTCGATATGCCCAAGCATTCTCAACCTCTCTGTTATACTGTACACACATTTTCTTAATCTACTTTCATTATTTCCATTTGCTTGGCTTTGATCCTTATTTCAGATTGTAAAGTACTTAGGTAGGTCATACCTAATCGTGCTATCTGTAAATCATAACTAGGGTTTATATTTAAAATCATTACTCTTGCTGTCAATATTCATCAGATAATGCACATATTCATTCATGTGGAGGCATAGATGTGTATTTATGTGAAGGGCAGATTGGATTAAATACCTCACTTCTGTTCATAATTCCCCGTATCCTTTGGGCCTCTTGGGGAATGTATTTGTTTTACTTTCTACCCCAGTGCCCATCACAGGGCCTGGAGTCGAGTGGAACCGTAAAAACAGCTAAACAGACAAACAGAAGTAAACTACTAGACTACAATACGAGCAGGTAAGAGGTGGTGGGAGATCCAAAGTAAGAGAGCCTTCAACTCTGTCCTTCATTAAATTAAATATCCATAGGAAAAGCTCAAGGGTAGACATTTAAAAATATAAAGTAAAATTTAAAATGAAAGAAAACAAACAATGATAAAAAAACAAACACCGGAATCACAAAACAGCAAGAACCATAAAAAAAGGACTAATAGAAAACAAAGTAAGTCAGTAATGCCTTAATACACAACTGCTAAATGAATGAATGGTGGCAAAAATTAATGAGTCCTTACAATTTTGAGCCTTCCTTCACCAATTTTAAATACCCTTTTGCTAAGCAAATAATCATAGCATTGATGGGAACTTCAAGATTTCATCTCTTCCACCATTTAACCTGCCTTCTAAATCAAAAATTATTCTAGATAGATTCAAATATAAAATTGTTTAAGTCCACATGACAAATCCCAGACTTCTATAGAGAAGGAAATTTCCCCACCTCTCTCGGTCTAACCTTTCTATCTAGCTAATCGACTAGATTAAGATGGAAATATCTGCCTAGCACAAGGTGAGAGGCAGAGCAGATACTCAATTCTTGTGGACTGACTGATCCAGGTCATCAGTGACACAAAGGAAAAACTCAGACTAAATCAAATTATGAATTAGTTTCCACTCTGGATCAGCAATGAGCCTGTCATAGGCACCTAACGTTTAAATAAAAAAACAATTTAAATAAATTAAGCACCATCAAATTCTCTGACACGTTCCACATCTTGCCACAATGCTTACTTGGTTTTGATCTGGGCTGTCAGACTCAGGCGATGTGGAAAGGAACGTTCTCAGGGTTCAACCAACTACCTGCCTAAGTGACAAGAAGTACGTCTGAGGTCTTAGCAAAGGTCTTACACTTTAGAAAAAGTTTTCCCTGCAGCCCTGGAGTGAGCAGCCCTCTTCTAGAATCTGACCAGTGGAGTCTCTGCTCCCTTGACTGCCCTCCCAGCCTGAGCTTTTTCTTAGGGCTGTGGGGATGACAGCAAAACTCATGAATGAGGAACTGGTGTGCAATGAACAGCATATGCTGGCAACAGCTGTCTTTTATTACACATTATCTAATATGAGAAATCTAGGTTTAGCAGTTTGGCAGGGCTGCAAACTACACATTCAATTACATCTGCTGAGTAGACAGCTCTTTAACCCCTTGCGAGCTTCTAAAATAAAGATGCCTGGGGTAGGGCTGAGGATCCGTCTCTTTTGTTTTTAGTCAGATGACTTAAAAGATTAGACATCAATGTTAAAAATGTAATTTTTGCTGCTATGCAATGATTCACAATGCCCCTCTTTAGTGCGAAACCAAGACCAAATACTTCAGCTGTCAGTTTGCAAAAACTAGGAATAATCTGCCCCAGAGCCAGCCAGACAGCCCTGCAGAGGAGCTTGTAGTTCCAAACTGTAGCCACTTCTGCTGCTAAGTAACAGCCTGTTACTTCCTGTCCCCTCTGTGTACTCGTTTCCTGAAACTGTTGTGGGTCGGGGAGGGGAGGATACCTATTCACAGATGAGGTATTTTTGGTTTTGTTGTTTGTTTCAAAAGTCCCAAAATTACGTGCTCTGCTCCCTTTCCAGTCCCCTGCCTCATTCTTCCCAATTCTTCCATGAACACAGGTTTGTTTGGTTTTTTTTTTCCTTTTTAAGTCAGGAGCTTTAGGATAGCAGGGCTCCACAGAAATATTCTAAGATTAGCAAAATAATAGAGCTGAACTCAAGTTTTTAACTTTAAGGGCCCTTTAGGAACCCAAATAGAATGTTGTGGCTTCTCAGGAAACTCTCATTGTGGGCCCATGAACCTCTTTTTCAAGAAAAAATTTTTGGATCTTGTCTCTAAGCATACCACAGTATGGATTAGAGAATACTTTTCAAATTCTTTTGTAGTGAAATTAACAGTTTTCTACTAAACGTATACATTAAATGATCAAAATATCTTGCAGTCAGGAACACTTGGGAGTTTTGGTAATGGATGGGTGTGTAGCCAGAAATAACGTAAAAGCTCCTGAAGGGCCGAACCCATCCCAGAAATACATGCATTACCGGGTTTAGCACAATATTCTGTACCTGAACTTACAAGTGAAATAACCCTTCCAGAAGTTGTCTATTTAGTAATAATTTGATAACCAAAAGAAAACCAGGCAAAGAGAGTCTGTCTATGGTCCCACTAATGCACATTCAGCCTTCTCCTCTGTTTGTCAGGTTTTCACTATAGCATTCAGTGAAAACTACTTTCCAACGACAACCTACTACCCTTGGGAGAGTGGGTATAAGGTCCAGTGGTACTCCTTTAGCATTGCCACATTCATCAAGATGACGTTACTTCACCCTGTCTCCTTCCTACAGCGTTTTCTATTGTAGAGATTGTTTTTTCTCTAAAACCATGTTCAGAAGTAGGAGCCATACTGGGAGTGTGTCACCTCCTACAAATAAAGGTATTGAGATCATATAAACACACAGAAATCTGTTTTTAAATAATGTTGAGTATAAACACCCTGGCTAACCCGATAGAGCTTTGCAGAAAGCAAAGCCAATGATAACAAGAAGTATGAATTGTTGACATCAGCCCTGAAAGGGTTGAAAATAACAGTGGGCAGAGAAACACCTGCTTGTGGGATTGCCTCAAAGGGATCTTGCTGCCTGCAGTTCGGTCAGTGCCAAATAGGTGATTATTCTCTAAAAAACCAGTTAAGGGAAATGAATATCCATTCGGAAAATTCTGAACTGTTGGGATAAACTTGCATCAAGCCTCACTGATGATAATTGTATAGAATCAGAAGTATCGTATACAAGATGTTTTGTTTTGCCTTTTTTTTTTTCTTAAGTAAATCTCACAACAGTAAGAAAAAGCTGTTTGAATAGGAAAAGTCTTACCATGGGAAAGAATATGAGAAAAGGGAAAAGAGAACTAAAAAAGATGAGAACATATGAATAAAATAACTGGTGTGGAAATGTGTGTGTATGTGTAGATATTATACAGATTATACACACACACACACACACACACACTCAGGTACATATGCCTACATCCCTCTCATTATCTTCTGCCAATAGCCTTCTACTGATTCCTCTTTTTAGTTCATGCTACCTTCACTCAGGCTTAAAACCAGATGTGTCTCCTCCTTCTTCACTGCCTTCACAGCCAAGCCTCTGAGCCTCTTCTCCATTCCTTCGAATCTTATTTCTCCAACTACAAAAGTTGCTCCCTCACTGCTAGTCTCTACCCACTTACTGACAAGCATGTTGTCCGACTAAGGTTCCTAAAACCTTCTACTCAATCATGCTCAGTTGTTTCGCTGTGCTGGTCAAATTACTACTTCCTCAGGGAAAGCGTCCAAGTGTTGTGTAAAGCAGCCCAGCTCTGAGGTCTCCCCTCCCCTCCCACACAGACTCTCATCAGGTCCACCTAACACAATAATGTGTTGTTACTTAAACTGCCCTAAGAGCCCCAAGATCTGTGCTGCGGCATTTAAATTATTCCTTTTCTCTGGAATACCCTTCAATATCTGGAATATCTATCCTTCAAGGTTGTATTCAAAGACATGTACTTGGATTGGAGCAGGTATATTATTTTACGTTGTATAATGCCTATTGGTTCTGCCTACTCAATTGTAAACCCTGTAAGACCAGGAAAAAGTGTCCTTCTCATCTTTGTACACCCTACACTGCTGTACACATGAAAAGTGAATAGAGATTTTGGTACTTCCCACAGTTGCTTTCGTTTCAGACAGTAAATTGATAAGAATATTCATTATTATGTTAAACAATGTCATAAAGGCACTTTTGGATTGAAAAGGATCAATCATCCAAACCATGACAAATTATTCCCTTATCTTCATTGTGAAAAATACCAAGGAATCAGCTATGTACATCACTGGAAAAAGATCATGACTCTCCCCCTATGCTGTAACTCTCTAATCCTGAAATTAGAAGACTTAAGAGTAACATATGATGTGCATACAAGATTTAAGGGCAAAAATTCATGCTTTAAAGCAATTCTTAATATTTTCTGTATTCAGATATGTACGTGGGGCATTATAGCAAGTTATTTAACCAAAATCTGAAGAGGTGTTTTGGTTTAAGTTTTTTTTTACTAGCTGGAAATTGAAAAATGAAAAAAAACCGCACAATAAATCCAGTTGTACATGGATTTTTTTCCAAATGAGTTTTCCTCTCTAGGGAAATACTCTTCAATAAAAATTAAAATAATAGCATAATTATTGAGCACATACTACATGTCAGTCACTCTGTTAAGCACTGTACATTTCCTCACTTAAGCCACAGAAGAGCCTCACTGGATGGTTCTATTATTATCTTCATTTTAGAAAAAACAAAACAATCTTAGAGAAGAAAGTGACTCTACTCAAGATTCCACAGCTAGTAAGTGGTGGATCTTGCACTCATTTATCCCATTAAGTCTTAATTCCCAATAGTGTGAGGTATGTGCCAGTGCCCCAGAACTGAAGATAATTTAGTCAATAAAATTTGCCCTAAAAAAAGTATTCTCATTGGATTATGAACTGAAATGACTATCAACGACTGGGAGAGAGGCTGGGAGGGAAGGAATCAATGGGAGACACTGGAAAAAGGAAAAAGGAACAATAACTCTCAAGCTGGTTGTGTCTACATACACCTTCTTCAAGTTGATGCGCTCAATGATTTTTATTTTACCTGAACACCTCTTCCAGTGAGAAAAACAATCTTCTTTTAACTTTTGCCTTAAAAATGTTGTCTTATAGTCTTAAATCTTCAAGATTTAAGGATTAGTGCAGGAGCTCTCTGGGTTCCTCACCTCCTTCCTCACCCATACTCTGAGCCACTAATTCCAAAGCAGCTAAAATAACATTTTTAATATGCAGTCAGACAAACATATCACTCTGCTCTCAAGAGAACATGAACACTCTAAAAGGCACAAAATAGCAATCATACCTGCTTTCTTCCCCGAGGCAAAGTAGCCACAGTATCTGCCAGCATTTGAAGCCTTCTATTATCATCCATGGGAAAGCTGCCTGTGAGTGTGGGGTAAGAGCTATACGCTGGACCAGCGCAGTACTCCACGAAATTGCCATTGCTGCTCTGTTGCATGAGCCTTTGTAAAGACATGGTGAATAAAGATTACTCCAGCTAGCACATGGTTGAGTGGCCTTGCAGGCTGGGGGAAGCTAAAAGCGTAACCCTCTGACAAGTAATCAAAAGTAGCAAAGCAGAGAGAGCCCATGTGACTTCTGTGGTTTGAGGTACTTGTTACACAAACCTTATCTTGCAGTTCACTCCCATTTCTCAGTGCTCTTTTCTTTAAGCCCCTGAGAAAACCTAAAGCTAGTTTATACCATTAAAATAAGTCGACTTATTTTTTTTTCTCCTTCAAACAGCCAGAACTCTTATGCTTTCATGTTCTATGGCAAGTTGTGTTCAAAACACCATCTGCCTTTTTTTTTTTCAAAGGAAAAAGAAAAACTTCCCCAAATTCTGCCATTTGTTTGCCATCCACTAGGCTACTTAATATGGTCAGTGCAATGTAAAAGTCAGGAGGTGCGGACATTGAGTTCTTGTGAATATAAGCAAGACTTACAGGATCCAGTCATAAGGTCCTCTCACGAAGTCCTTGGAATGCACTTTCCCCAAAGTACATCTTAGCTCATTAACGGTCATCAAAAAGACATTATATCTGCCACGTGGTCTGTGACCATTCAGCATTCTTCTGATTGCCCTTCCACTACTTTGTCCTCACTAAAATTATCCATTATCTTTACAAAGAACAATGGGAGGGGAAGACCAGCCCATTTAGAGCACAAAGTTGCCCATATCTTAGACTGGAATTTGTCACAGCATCAGCAAGTGGTCCCAGGGGAGGAATGAGGAGGCCATGAAAGTAATAGGCAGACCAAGGTGGCACAAGAATGTTGCCAGTTGGTCCCTGCCTATGCATATGGGCCAAGGGTACCATCATGAATTACTCAAGATCACAGATGCTTTTATTGGCTGGGGGGTGGGGGGATTGGGGACATGCAGTTTTAAGAGACTTGATTTTAGAGAAGGAGCAGTGTATATAAGTAGAAGGAAGATTCAAAACAAAAATAAAAATGAGAAGTTTTGCATAGTATAAAAAGTCAATTGTCATTTTCAAAATCATTTGGAAGGTCAATAGTAGAATTTTAGAGACAGAAAGTCTTTGAACTAAAATGGAAGTCAATGTGAATTCAGCTCAAGCAGAACCTGCCAAATGTAAATTGTAAAATCTTCTGAGTTAACAGTGCTTCAAGAGACCCTATCACAGCATGACTCAATTACCATTGGAATTGGATAATGACATGAACAAAATGATGTCTCCAAAGACATAAAAAGATCTAAATCAGGGATTACAAACACATATGCCATCTGGATTCAGGTAGGTAAAATAATATAACATATATGTGTAAAACAAAAGGGAGTGGTAGAGACTTTGGCAACTAAAAATATGGTCAATTATAAAGACATTTATGTAATGTGTGTGCGTGTGTGTGTGTGTGTGTGTGTGTGTGTGAGAGAGAGAGAGACAGAGAGACAGAGAGAGAGAGATTGATTTTAAAAACATCTCCAGGCTGCTATAAGGTACATGACTTAAATCAACACTGTTACTTGAGGACAGCAGTCTTCCTGTCCTCTGGGAATTTTATAAAATTAGGGAAATATTTTAATATTTCAAAATACCAAATGGAAATTACATATTTGCTTGATATAAGGCCACTAGGCCAACCAACAACCAAGTTTTACAGATGGATGCTAAAATTGTATCAATTTAGTTGTGTGATACTAATCTTAAGCTAATATAAATTATAGAAATCTATTATTAAATTAAGAAATTGGAAAATAAATTATCTTTTTACTTAATTTATGAAATGTGTTTAACAAGTAGAATATTTCAAATCATGAGATCCATGGCTGTAAAATTGGAGTCAAAGGCAAGTTTGACATTCAGCCAGTACATACTGGTATGGTCACACTTGTTAATTACATATTTATGACTTGGTCTATTTTGATTGGTCAGTTCCCTGTTCTGATTGTCAGGACCTGTGTCATACTAGTTATTAAATATTTTTAATAACATCCCTGATCAAAGGTATCCTTTGTGACAAAATGTGGGGAAAAACTAATCTTTCCATACAAATGTGACTTCAACCCTCAAACCTTGATTTACAAAGGTGTTCTACTATTTACAACTTCTCTTTTCTATAGAATTTACCTTAAGACAAATATAATAGCCTGAAGCTGTCTTCCCCTTCATCATCCCCTTTATTTTATAATAAAATGAAACCAGATCAAGCTATCTACCTGCTCAAAAGATTGCACGAGTCCCTCATTGTCCATAAAATAAAATTAAAAGTAAAATTAAATTAAAGAATTTCAAGTTCTTACCTAACTTCATCTCTGAAATGTCATATCACTTTTTTTAGAGACATCAATGGTTTAATGGATGGGGGATCTTACACATCTGAAGCAAGGTCCTGGAGCAATACCCCACTGTGTGCTGCAGACGGAGGGCAGGACATGGTATCTGCCTTCGCTCTCATATCACTTTTTTCAGATCATTCTTTTAAGACTTAATATTTTATTGTTAGACTACAGTTAATTGTACACAAGTCTGTTTCTACACTGTCTAATTTCCTCTAATTACCTTGAGCACAAGGCCCATCTCTTATCTTTAAATTTACACTCATGTCCTACATCTATAGGTGTTCAGTAAATGTTTGTTAAGAAAAAGAAAAGGGTAGAGCAGTAGATATTTAACAAAATGAATTCAACAATATTGTTCTAAAACATCAAAGAAGAAAAACTAAACTGGCAGAAAATTTTTGTGCTATTAACCCATATTCCAAAGTGCTATAGTCTTCTATAAGAGTGATCTGAAAGATGTGGACAGAACCTTTTACAGTAGTCAAAGTAGTCAAAAAATCATGAGACTAGACCCAGGTTACTTTATCAGTGCTATACCAAATTTTCAAGATAAATACAAATCTTATATTAATAGTCCCAGAGCATAAAACAAGATGCATTCTCTAAAGCTAATTAATCTGATCCTAAACTATATATAGAGGGAAAAAAGGAAGGAAGGAAGGAGTGAAGGAAGGAAGGAAGGAAGGAAGGAAAGGAGGGAGGAAATTAAGCTAATTAAGCTAATCTCACTTATTAATTCTGATACAATTAAAATATCAAATTGAGTCCAATAGTGTATTAAAAATAATACCTCTCAACGAAGTAGGATGTACCCCAGGAATACAAGGATACTTCAACTTTAGGATATAAAATACTAACAGACGTCACTAAATCTCTGGATGAAAGAAGAAATTCAATGCAATAGACACCGACAGTATAGTGATTCATCTTTGCTTTGAAAAATCCTAAATAAATGAGGAATAGAAGGAAAACTTTCTTAGCATAATGAAAGGTATCTACCAGAAACACCCACAAAATATCATCTTCAATGTTGAAATGTGTTTCCATTACAGTGAGAAGGAAAGCAGAGATGACAGTAGCCCTCACCACTGATCACTGTTGTCGTTCATATCACAGACAGGAGGTATAGAATTTGTAAAGAAAGAGACTAAACTATAAGGTTTGTTGGTGCTGTGGTTGCATAACTAGAATATCCAAGACAATCCACTGAAGAACAGACTTAATAAGATAGTTTTCCTAGATGTAAGATTCTAAGGGTAACACATAAAAAGAAAGAAATTTCTCATACAGCAGCAGTGGATGATATGAACTGGTAATATCAGAGGAAAGAAATACTATCAAAACAGCCAAAAATTCATAAAACAGGAATGAACTTAGCAAGCATTTGTAAGATTTTATGAAGAACATTATAAAGTCCAGAGTAAGGGAAAAAATACCATGTTCCCATATGAGAAGAGTCCTTCTTGTAAAGATGTCTATTATCCCCAAATTTTCTAAAATATTCAATGTACTGAATTCAAAATCACACAGGTTTTGTTTGTTTGCTTGTTTATAAAAGTTGACATACATTCTTACACTCATCTGAAAGAGAAAGTGCACAAGACGAGCTAAGAAAAATTTGAAAATAATAATGGTAGGGGATAGAGGTAAGGATGAGCATTGAGAAAATCACCCTACTTGGGTATCAGAAAATATTACAAGAGTTAGGACTGTATGGTCAAATAGAATAGGTCAATGAAAAGAATAATGACAAATCAAATATTGTCAATGAATAGAGAATCCCAAAACATATCCATGAATATTCAGAAATTTACTATATCATTAACTTATTTTAATTCATTAGGAAAAGAATAACCCCTTCAATAAATGGGTTGGTACCCGTGTGGAAACAATTAAGTTATAGTCTTTTATTACATTATAATAATAAATTCCAGGTGGCTTAAGGAGTTAAGTATAAAAATAATTTTAAATATTTAAAATAATAGCAAAAACATAAAGTATTTTAGTAAGATTAGATTGGGAATGGTTTTCCTAACAATACAGAGAAGTCCAGAGAGCATTAGTAACATAAATAACTTCCATTCAAAGAAAAACAACTTCTGTTCAATGGAAGCTATAATATACATAGGTTAAAGCTAAATGACAACAAGAAATTATTTGTGATACATAATTGATTAAAGGCCATAATACATAAGGAATACTTTATTCTTTGAAGAAAAGTAGTTTTAGATGATTAAAGGCTCTGAACAGATAATTTACAGAGAAAGCTCAAATCATCAATATACTTATTAAAGGATGTTCAAACTTACTAGTAATCAGGAAAGTAAAACTTGAAACAACAGTTAGATACTAACTGTTGCCTACCAAAAAATGAACAAAAAATAAAAATTGGCAATATCCAGTATTGGTGAAGTTACAAGTAAATGGGCTTTTAGCACTTTGTAGGAATATAAATCAATAAAACTTTATTAGTGGGGTAATTTGACAGTATTGAAATTTTAAAATGCACTCCAGGAATTCTACTTTTAAGAATTTATCCGACAGAAGTACTCTTACATGTGCAGAAAACAAGTATGTTTCTTGTGACATTGTTTGAAATTGTGAAAAACTGAAGTTTTAAATGTATATCAGTTGAGAAGTAGCTACATAACTTACGATAATTTAATTCAATGGAATGCTCGGCACCCACTGGAAAGTATAAAATAAACAATTACGTGCATAAATATTTTT